ACACACACACACACGCGCGCGCGCTCTCACCTCCCAGTGCAAAGTTGGTGGCCGCGCCCCTGCCCCTGAGCCGGACCAGGGCGCGGTCGTAGGCCTTTGCCGCCTCCCGCTCCTCGATGAACAGGCCCAGATAGATGTGCTTTGACCCCGGCACCCCAATGCGCGCCTCCCACCGGCCCGAGGGGTGGTGGGTCACGCCGCGGAAGGAGGAGGTGCCGCGGCTGAAGCCCTGGCTCTGGCGCCGCACCGCCATGACCAGCTCCTCCATGGTCATGCGGTTGATGCAGCCCAGCAGGTCGGCGTACTTGGTGAGGTCGAAGTTGGTCTTGCACCCGCGCCGGCCCTTGCACTTGAGCGCCGCGATGTCGTACGCCTCCGCGGCGTGCTCCTCGCACTCGTAGCCCCCCAGGTACACCTGGCGCCCAAGGTCCTTGACCCAGATGTGGGCCTCGAAGCGGCCGCTCCGCCGGTGCTTGGTCACGCCCCGGAACTGGGACGAGCGCGCCGCCTTGTCCCCCGCCGCGCCGGCCTTCCGCGCGCCGGGGCCCAGGGGGGGCCCGTCGGGGCCGATCCCGGCGCCAGCGGCGCCGGCGCCGCGCGCAGGCCGCCGCGCCGCCGCCACCACCGAGCTGGGGGAGGGCTTGGGCGCGGCCAGACCCGCGACGCGCGGCGGCGTGCCGGGGAAGTGCGCGCCCACCAGGCCCAGGCTCTCGTAGCCGTGGGAGGCGGCGGGCGCGGGGCTGGCGTAGTCGTTCGCATCGCGCGCGCGGGCGCTGGCATTGCCGCCGTGCCCAATCTCCACCATGCCCTCCAGCACGTGCCGAGCGCCGGCGTGAGCGCGCGGATCAAAGTCGCCGCCCTCCGTCTGCTCGGAGGTGGCGGTGCAGGGGTCCGCGCCGCCGGGGGCGCCGCCCTGCCCGCCGCCCAGGCCCCAGGCCGCCAGCTCGCCGCCCGGGCCGGACTTGCCGATGACGTAGGAGGCCAGCGGATTGTCCACGCTGGTGCCGGCCAGCGGGTTCAGCCCGCCCAGGCCCAGCAGGCCCTCCAGCCCCTGCTGCTGGCCGGGGTGGTGCTGATGCTGGTGCTGGTGCTGGTTCTGGTGCCCGGCGTGGTGGTGCAGCTCGCCCAGGCCCGGCATGTGCCCTGCGCCGGCCACGCTCGGGGCGGTGCTGGACAGGTAGGCCTGGAGCAGGTCGGGGTGGTGCAGGTGGGCGTGGTCGGCCAGGTCGGGGAGGGGGGGGGTGAAGCCTGGGGTGGGGCCTCCCCCTCCTCCTCCACCCCCTCCATGCCCGGACAGCAGGCCCAGGGCGTCCAGGTAGCCGGGGCCCAGCAGCTGCATCACCGAGTTCCCGAGGTGGCCGGGGCCCTCGCTGGGGCCCAAATCAACGCCCATGTCCATGGGAGGGCGCTGCGCGGGGGGCGGGGCGGGGAGGCACGGTGGCGTCCGAGGTATTCTCGGACACCACAACGATCACAGGGAAGATGCGGGGCCAGCCGAAAGGGCTTCAGGGCATGCAGGGGGTGTGATCGGGGCCCGAAACGCACCTTGGGTGGGTTGTGGACGCTGAGCACAAGCCGGTATCTGGCAGGCCTGGTCGCGTGGAAGGGTCAGGGCCTGCTCCCGTTGCCCCGCTCCCGTCCTCCTGTGGCCAAGACAATGTAATGTTGGGGTTATGCTGGGCAGGGTCAAGTCGGGCCCAGACAAGATGGCTTGGGGCGGCGGGGAAGGGAGGTGCCGCGCGCCTCCTTGACCTACACTCCTCCCGCACATGGGGTGTTACCTGCTTTCTGATAGGGGGGGCCGGTCAGAATCACTCGCACGCCTGGCACACCGTGCTCAATGCTGCAACCAGCGTGTAATGCGCTCTCGGTCTCGATCAGCACGGACTGGGGCCCATGCTGCGCGAAGGGGGGGGGGCCACGCTCCGACACCTGGTAAGGCAGGGGCTGGTGGGTGCTCGTCGAAAGACCTGACGACGCGGAGCAAGGAAGGATTAGAAACTCGGGTCTCATCCACCATTGACCTCCTGACTCCCTCGACCGGGATGCTCACTCCTGTGCGGGATGCAGTCCAACGCGGGGATGCCATGTGACTCGCTCGGAGGGTCCCAGGTGGCTTGGGTCCCCAGGCATTTGACCCTGGTAGACATGCACTGAGGAATACTCATTCTCTCTCGCACAGGAATACTCTGGGTGCTGGATGCCCCATTCAGGGCACAGCGAGTCCCATATCTAACTGCCATGCGGCAGTAGGCTGCCAGGGGTCCCATGGGAGGCTGCTGCTCCTCCCCAGACGATGGCAGACACTCCCTGACACCTCGTACCAAGCGAGACAAGGAGCGACAGATAAAAACCTGGCAGGCCTCCGGGATAATATCGGTCCGCAGCGCAGGGCACAAGGTAACAATCCAAATGCATGCTGTGCATCATGATCGCCTGTGACGAAGCGGGCGTGTTGGGTTGGCACTCGCGACGAGGCGCGCACCCTGTTCCGGCATCATCATGCAGAGGCCGTGCCTCCTGGCCTGTTACAGATACCGCCCCTCATCTCGTACTCAGGAGTTGCCGGAGGAAGTGAGGACGGCACTCAGGAATGCGCGTGTGCTGGATGCAGCGGGCAACAACCTGCAGAGCATCCCGGACTGGGTGCTCGAAGCCAGCAGCCTTAAGCGCCTGCTCCTGCAGAGCAACGCACTGCGTCACCTACCGTCTGGGCTGTCCCAGCTTCGGTCCCTCCGCGTGCTAAACTTGGCCAGCAATGCCCTCACGCACCTGCCGGATCTCCAAGGCCTGGTGCTCCTACAGGTCCTCACTCTCTCTCAGAATCACCTGGAGGAGGTAGACCCCAGCATCGGATGCCTCACAGCCCTCACGCAGCTCGATGTGTCCGGTGAGCTGGCCGGGCATGCAGAGATGAGGAGAGTAGAAAATGGTGCTGCGTTTTCCGCTTGCTTGTTTTGCCAATCATGTCTGGGTTGGAGATTGGAGTCGGGGAGGATCCAGAAAACGCCACCGAGCACCGCTGCCACACCCCTATCCATCAGGCAACAAGCTGACCAGGCTGCCGCCCAACTTGGGCAAGTGCGTGGCCCTGACAGAAGTGCTTGCTTCTGACAACAGGCTCGTGGAGGTCCCCACCGAGCTGGGCCGACTACAAAAGCTCCAGACGCTGAACCTGGAGCGAAACTCCTTGGCCGTCATCCCGCCAGCCGTGCTGGTGGGCTGCATCTGCCTGCAGACGCTCCTGCTCCAGGGCAACCCCCTCACGTCGGAGCAGCTCGCGGCCACTGAGGGGTATGCAGACTATGAACAGAGGCGGCAGAGGAAGTATGACAAAGTCCTCGCCACCAATGTCCTCACATCAGGCTTCACAGAAGCCATTGACCGTGACGTCGCTGTAACGTGACCAGAACCCTGGAATGGCTTCAGGGTTTGGATTGGGAGGCTGCCAGACTCATGATCAGCATGGGCACCAGCAAAATAGGTCGATGCCCCGACCTGTGCAATCTTGGCGGGAAGCGTCATAATAGTACAACGTCCCTCACCTCTCGACTTCGCCTCCAAGTTCGAGCTCCCTGCCGGGCTCTGTCTCTTTTCGTGACAGCGAAGAACCACAGGACGCAGGAGACTTGCACAAGATGGTGCGTGGCGTGGGCCGGGACGGCGACCGGGGCGCCGCACTGGAGGCGAAGCCAGCACCACGCGAGTGTCGCGACGCTGGCTGAGCCTGGGCAATGCCGTGATGTTTCTAGCTTGCGGCATGGCATCATTCCGGCTGCCCACTGCCCGCGCGATGCTTGAGACGCCCTCTACGGGGCAAGGAGGCGGACCCGCACTGATTTTGGCGGGGCACCTGGGGGGACTTCGCTGTCCCCGTCGTAGCTTTCTGTGACTCTTTCGGGGCGGTTCGCTGTGTGCATGGAATATTTCCGACCTGTGCCTCCCCCTGGATCGCCGTTCGCAGGTGCTCGCCTGCGATATCGACCTGCTGAACCCTCCTAAGGAGCTGGAGAAGCGCAAGCACAAGCTTCACCGCCTGGTTGCCTCCCCAAACTCCTACTTCATGGATGTCAAGTGCCAGGGGTGCTTCAACATGTGAGTTATGGGCGCGCCCCTGACCTGCGGGTGGCGACTCATCTCTCTCCCGTGCTTGGACGATCGCGGCTGATGTAGAGCCAGGATCATCCTTTTGACCCCATCCCGACCCCTCCCCTGCGCAGCACCACCGTGTTCAGCCACTCCCAGACCGTGGTGGTGTGCACTAACTGCAACACCGTCCTGTGCGTCCCTACCGGCGGAAAGGCTCGTCTGACCGAGGGTGAGGAAGAGATCAGGGTTGCCCTGTGGATGGGGCAGCGACCCTGGTCACAGTGCAGAGTGTGCGTGTGTGTGCCTGCACACATACCTTGGTCCTGCATGCATCCCTCGTGCGGCGCTTGGCCTACATCCCTCACCCCTGTTACTCCACTCCAGGCTGCTCTTTCCGGCGGAAGGCTGACAGCTGATCGTCTGTGCCCCTCCCGCCTGCCTGGAGGCCATGGCTGGGTGTGCACTGACGTCTGTAACGCTGCCGCTCTTCTAGCACCAGTTGGGCTTCAAGCTGGGAAACGGAGTATCATGAGGGTCGTGGGTCCTGGTGGGGGATGGGAGCTGCCTTGTGAGGCAAGCTGGGGCCGGCACAGGGGCCACAGTGGCATGCGCACCAGCGCCGCCATGGGTGCCGTGCCAGGTTGCTAGCCAGCGCGGGGGTAGAGGATGTCGTAGTGCCCCGGGCGGTACAGTAGGTGGACGCTGGGATCCACGGGCGCTGCACCTGCCAGGCTCTCTGGCACAAAATCGTGCATGTCGACGTGGGCTTCGTCCCCGGCACCGGGCCCGCCGTGCCCGCCGGGCGAGGCGCTGCGGTCCAGGTACACCACGCGCAGTGGCACCTGGAGGAAAGGGGGCATTGCAAGGGGGGGGTTGCCGATCAGCAGCAGGGCAACCGGCCAGGGGGCTCCCCCAACCAATGAGCCAGCGGCGGCCCCTGCAGTGATGGACCATGGCAACCTGCCTGCAGCGCGTTGGTGAGGGCGACAATGTGCACATGGTCGCTCTCCTCGTCCATGGGGTCCACAAAGCGCTGGCAGAAGGGGCCGACGCCGAGGTCACTCATGCCCTGCCAAGGTGGGGGGGTGGAGGAGGTGTGGGCACCTGTGTCATCGCCGGCATCGCAGTCGTGCTGCTGCTTCAGGGTTGGTCTTGCTGCACGGCCCATGGGCCCCCCCCCACAACTCACCATTATGAAGGGCTCGAAGAAGTCTGATCGCCTCCGGATCTCGCAGCTGGTGATCATCCGCATGAGGAACACGACGTAGTTGCTGATGTACTCTGTTGGGGGAAGGACCGGTTTGGCAGATTGCCTGAGTAGGCTCACCATTGTTCCACTGGGATCCAGGGTTGCACATGGTCAGAGTCAACATGCTGGGCGCAGCAAGACACCCGTCCCTCTTCTCCTTGCGCGACTTGCCAGAGCACATATTCTGTTCCAGAATATCAATGGACAGGGGCTCCACAGGGCTCCCGATGTTTCTGACCATGTCAAGCATGGCATCCATGGGAGTCTCCATCACTGGCGTGGGGATTTTGAAGCAGGGTCGTCAGAGCTTAGGCATGCTACCCGCAGAGTTACAACCATTGTTGCCCAGTACAGATTGTCACAGCCTGTGCCAAGGTGTAGGAGCCTGCAGGGCGCTCCATACCCCCCATGCCCTGACCCACCCATCTCCTCATAGCCAGCCTCGGTCAGCTGCTTCTTGACTTCTGCCAGCCGAGCCAGAACCCTGCGGACCAGGGGAGAGGCCTGACACGGTCAGCATGCAACCACAGTGTAGTGACGAGGACATTGGATCAGGCGCTGTCTTCTGAATCAGTTCTGGTCAGGTTGCACCTCCTCTTCAGGGCCATTCAAAGGGCACCCTGCACAAAGGCCATCCACGCTTCAATGCCGCACTCCACACCTATCCTTCTCGGCGTCATCCCCCATCAGCAGCATCCGCTCGATGAAGGCAAACACAAAGGAGCGAAAGAAGCAGTTCCCGTCCCCGCGCGTCCGTCGGATGAGGCCGTAGGCCCCCTCCAGGGTTTGGATCTTGGACAGGAAGACGGGCGAGCCGGCAACATACTCTGCCGCCAGCGAGGACAGGGGCTCGGGCTGGCCCACCAGCGCCTGCTTCCCGGGTCCGGCCTCGCGGATGGTATTCTCCCAGGCGATGATGTCGGCGTCTGATGGCCGGTCCGGGAAGAGCGGGCCGCCGGGGGCCGTGCCATCTGCAACCTCGGAAGCCTCGATGGGGGCACCCAGCATCATCGCTTCGCTCGAGGAGACGCTGGGAGGACAGGACGATGGGGGCTGGGCTCGGAACGCAGCAGGCCCTGGCAGGGCTCAGGGGGGCAGCTTGATCCATTGACCCTGGCAGACTGTCTCCTGCACCCTCTCGGCAATGTGGGCCAGTCGGCGAACAGGCTCCTCCTGGCAGCATGAGTTCTCCTCACACCCCTCTCACCCATGCACTCACCGGGCCAGCTCTGGCGCCCCCTGGCTGGTACCCAGCGTGCTGCCCTCATCGACGCTGTTGCTGCTGCAGCCTGGGGCCATGCACGGATCAGCAGTGGATCCCACGTGCTGGGATACGGAGGGCTCCGGGCCAAAGTTGGAGCCCGACACCCCGGAGGTCTCCCCGAAGGCTTGGCTGGCTGTTGCGGCAGGATGCGCCGACACGGACGCCCCTCCTTCTGCCGTGTTCATGCTCTCGAATACCACCTCTCCCACGGATGCCTCGGGTGTGGGGCGCGTGGAGGACCCTCCAAAGACCCGAGAGCCTGTCGGGGAGCTGTGGCCCTGGGCGATAGGCGCACCGTACCCGCTGCATTGGCTGCTGGACATAGTACTCACTTGAATAGCAGCGCAACTTAAAGAACAAACTCAGACCTGACCGGCTCCAGGGCCGATCAGAGGCTGTCGTTGCCGTGGTGCTGGGATAATGGAGGCTTGCAGATGCTCCTCGTCCTGATCTGGAGAGTGCTTTCGGGTAGGTTTGTACGACAGTCACCGAGTTCAAGCTTCGAGAGTATGCCAGTGCTGTGCTCAGCGTGAAGTTTTGTGATCAATGTTTCGGCAGTCGAGCGCCACTTTCTTGCGGAGAGAGCTTCCGAGATTAGGGTTCGATGGGCGGGACACTGCAGCATTAGAGCCCTAAGCCTGTGCCGAGGGATCTCGCTCATCAATAATTGTTCGAAACACCTGGCTCTCTGGACTGTCAACAGGCTTGATGAAGGTTGCCAGCCTTTTCTCGGGAGCAGGGGCGCTCGACCTGGGGCTGCACCAGGTACGTCCTCCCCATGCGCGCGCTGATCGTTGATGAATTCTGGGTTACGATCCAAGCGATGTGAATGCTAATTCACTCATTGCGCATTGCTTGATCCCAGGCTGGGCACGAAGTCATCCTGCTGTGCGAGGCGGACCAAGGCGCCCGGCAGGTGATGCTGGGGGTCCCTCCGGCCCCCCACCCACCGTTGGGAAACTCGGCTCGGAGCATGTGGGGGTTGAATGAGGTGGGAGGGTGCCCAAACCCCTCATCTGAACCCCCATGCCCTATTTACACCTCCATGCATCCCTGACGATCAGGTGCTGACCTCTGCGTTCCCGGGGGTGCACATCACCGAGGATGTGGCTGCCCTCGAGCGTTTGCCCGAGGTGGGTGATCGGACGGGCAGGCATGGCCGGGGTCGCTGGGTGTGGGTGGGGAGTGGGCCGAGGGCTTTGTTCCTGAGGTTTCCTGGCCAGGTGTGTCGAGACGGGCAGGAGGCATGGCCGGCCCCCCGACCCCGCAGCAGGCAGGACCCCATCATCACGCGCCCCTGTGTGCACTGGGCACATGAGTCTCTCCCTGCATTCACCCCACACCCCTGCACCCACCCCCGCCGCGCTCACCAGGAGACAGAACTGCTGGCTGCCGGGTTCCCCTGCATCGACGTCAGCCGGGCGGGGCTGCGCCGGGGTCTAGAGGGCAAGTCCACGGGCCTCGTGCGCCACGTCTTCCGCCTGCTGCGCGTCGCGGCCCGAGCCCGCCGCCCTGTGCCCTGGGTCCTGCTGGAGAACGTGAGCGAGACGGTCCTGGGTGGGTGCGGGGGGTTGCTTTGATCTGGCCCTGCTCCCCGGTCCGACCCATGCAGCCGGCCTGGCGCCCACGTCGCGCGCCGCTCCCCACTCCCCTCCCGTCCCATTGACCCGGCCCTGCCGCTCGCAGGTGGAGGCGCTGCTGGACCGCGCCAACGGCGAGCCCCCTGTGATGCAGTACATCGCCCGCCAGTTCCAGGAGCTTGGGTATGGATCCTGGGCGTACCGGGTGGTCAACTCCGCAGGTGGCTGGCTGGCGGGGTGCTGCCGGGGGATGGTGGAGGGGATGATTGGCTGGGGGCGGAAGGTCCCGGGCTAGGAGTGGTGGGTATGAGTGTCAACCTGCAGAGGTAGGACTGACGCATGGCGGCGCTGACTCCGTCGCGCGCTGGGTTGCGGCACGGCGCGGCGCTGCAAGGGCATTCCTTCTCCAGGGGATATCGCTGCAGCGGTCGGTCAGCAGCTACTTTTCCGCCCCTCGTGCTCCTCACAAGGCTTTGGGCTGCCCAACCGCCGCCGGCGAGTGTTCATTGTGGCCTCCATGCACGGCGATGCCCGGGACGTGCTCCTGGCCCAGGTGAGGGATTGTGTGTTGCTGCAAGCGCTCCGTGCGTTGCTGCAAGCGCCAGATGCGTGTGGGAGGGTTTTGACAAGGGTGTCCCGGGCGTGCACAGCAGGCGAGCCATGCCGGTGCACCAGACTGCAGCTCTGCGCCGCTCCATCGATGCAGGGCGCCATGGGCTGCCCGGGGTCCTGCAAGCACCTCTTCGACGGCCAGCTGTGCTACAGCTGCTACTGCTCCTCGGATCGGTCGGCGCGGGAGGTTTCCTACGCCATCGACCTCGGCAACGCGATGTGGGTGCCTGGGAGGGGGGGATGGAGCGGGTGCTCGGGCAGGAGAGGGGGAGGTCCATAAGCCGAGCAAGCTGGCTGCTGTCCCGAACCAGGGCCGGCCAGCCTCAGGGGTGCAGCGATGGGTCCTGCTGCGCATCCAGAATGGCTACCCAACCAATCAGACCCCCCCGCCTCTGAAGCCTCACGCATCTTCCTCGTTCCCTCCTATTACCAAACTCACAGCTCGCCGGCGGGGGAGGACGTGGTGCCCACATTCACCACCTCAAATGACCGCATGCTGCTCCTCCTTTCCTCCGGGCTCAGCGGCATGTTGCGCTGTGATGATGCCGAGCGGCTGCAGGTGACGGGGCGGGGGAAACTTGGGGACACAGGGCTGGGTGGGGATCCCTGCTGTGGCACATAGTGGAAGCGTGCTTGCTGTTATCTGTGTTGTGTTGCCGAGGGGCCAAGTGGATGGAGTCTGCACCCTGTCAGGGATTGACGTTGGCCCCTTGCAAGCCCCACCTCTAAACCTTGTCGAAACCAACAGGGCTTGCCGGAGGGCTACACCAAGCCCTGCTGGCCGCTGGCGGGGCCGGGGCTGGGGGGCCACCGCCTGGCGCGACCCCGGGACGTGGATGCAGAGACAGCGGCCGCCAAGCGCTGGGATCTGCTGGGTGGGTGCTGTGCGTCGGGCTGTGGTGGAGAGAGGCCGCCGCGCATGTTGTGGGCTTTTATCCAGTTGGTCCTCTCCCCTCGCGGCAGGAAACGCGGTGACCGTGCCAGTCGCGCGCTGGCTGGGGGAGCGCCTGGCCCAGCCCTACGCCTTCAAGTACCAGACCGCGGGGGTCAGCAACCGGCGGATGGATGCACTTGTCCGGGAGGGAATGGCAGATGCCGGGCCGGAAGCTGGCAGGTGGGTGTTTTGGTGAGAAATTTTGACATGGTGAGCCGTTGGCTGGACACTGGAATCCATGGTTGCCTGCTGCACCCCTGCACTGGCTAGACCTGGGTATGGGACAGATTTCGGCCATTGGAGAGTCATTGTGGTATTCAGTTCCCCCACCTTTAAACACGATCTGGAGATTGCTGACAGTGAAACCAGCCACGTTGGTCATAGCACGCCATGTCATCCCTTTCTCCCCCCTCCAACACGGCGCAGGCCTTCCCCCAACCTGTGGAGCTTTGTGTGCCTGGATGAGCTCCAGGAGGCGGTGCTCTTCCCCTACCTGCTGTCCCGCCCAAAGCCCGCCGTGGCCGGCGAGGTCGAGGCCGAGGGCGTGGAGGCCCCCCTCCCCGACCTGACCACGGGCGACTGGCTGGACCCCGCCACCAATGCGGCCCGCGAGGCCACGGCCGAGGTCATCCTGGCCCAGACCGAGGAGGCGGGCCGGGACCGGGAGCTGGAGAAGGACATGTTTCAGGCAGCGCTGGTGCATCGGGTGAGGCAGCGGGTGGCCTGCCTTGGGGCTTGGTGGCTGGCTTTACTGCCCGCATGAGTCGCTGCATGCACATGTTGACCCTCAGAGCACACGAGGGGGTAGCACAGGCAGTGGTGCTGGCACATAATCCTGGCACTGCACCCCCCAACCCCACCCAATCCCCCGGGCAGGCGCGCAAGGGGCAGCTGTCGGGCGTGGCCCGCCTGCAGATCCCCTGGGACAAAGAGGCCTGGCCCCGCGCCGGGTGGTGGGTGCGTGGCTTGGGCGCGTTTGCGGTGGAGGACATGTCGGAGCACCCCGTGCCCACGCCCTTTCTACCGCTGGGGGACTTCATCGGAGAAGTGGGGAGGTGTGCGGAGGGGGAGGGGGGGGTGCTGTGAGGGGTCACCACAGGCTGTGGTGTCGCTGGGGTGGGACCTGGAGGAGGGTCTGCCAGGGCACATCACCAATGTCGCCGGTGACAGGCCCCCCCCACCCCCAAACATCCCACACCACAGGCCGGCCAGGCCCGAGGAGGTTGACTCCTACCTGCACAGGATGCAGGAGCGGGGGTGGGACGCCTCGAACACCGTCGCGAAGTTGCTGAAGAACAATGCACGCTTCTCCTATGAGGTGGGTGCATGCGCTGGGGGAGGGGCCTATCAGACCAGATCTTTTCTGTGCTGTGGTGTGTGAGAGTCGAGACGCGGGCTGCTGCATGACGGGCAGGTTGAGAGGAAAGGCTCCGGGCCTTCCTTGCACCATCATGAGAGCTAGCGTGACACTCGACTCCACACCGACCACCCCCTACCTTCCTTCTGCCCTCGCTCCAGGTGCGCAACATCTCGCGCCTGCCGGGCCTGCTCTCGGACGCCGACATGATCGGCCCCCTGTGCTGGGCGCTGGACCCTCAGTCGGGCGCATGGTGGCCTGTGGAGGTCCTGGACCCCATGTCGCTGCCCACAGGTGACTGGGATGGAGGGCAGGGGTGCGCAGGGGAGGAATGGACTGGCTTTGACACGAGGCAGGACACCCAGGGGCAGTGTTCGGAACACAGCAATGCACTGGACCACCATGCAGGCCGGACGCTGCCGCCCGAGGCACTCGCAGATCTCAGCTCCGAGCAGAGGGTTGCCTCCCTGCCGTCGCACGCCGCCTCGGCTGCCATGGCCCAGCAAGTGGTGCGCTCATTCCTTTGGCGAGCAGCTGCGGCCGTGCGTCCCTCAAACTGCATGTTGCGGCAGTCCAAGCATTGGCTTGCCGAGGAGACTGAGCTGGGGCTGTGTCCGCCGCAAGCGCTCGAAGGGGTGCATTGATGCCTTCATGTCCTCCACCTCCTCTTCCTGACTGTCCCTTTCAGGCGCCAGAAGACAAGCGGGTGTTGGTCAACTACCTCCCAGTGCATGGCGCCGTCTGGCAGGTGACAAGTGTCTCGTAGTGGAGGGGACGTGGCAGTCAGAGGAGATCCGTTGACGTCAGCTGGGCTTCCAAGAAGTGCATGGGCATGCCCGTGACGAGTGGAGACGGGGTGCAGTGAAGTCTGCCTCGCGCTGTTGTCGTATCCTCCCTCTGATCTAGCCCAGCCTGGCCAGGTGGCTGTGAGCGTCGCCTGTGCTTTACTGAAAGTGTAAGCACTTGACCCACCCTCCCCCGCCTCTCACACACGACACAGTGGCGCCATCCGGACGACCTCATCCCATACGAGGCAAACCTTGCAGCCAAGGAGAGCGCCGCATCTGCGGCCATCCGGTCGGGCAAGTTCAAGCACGCTGAGAAGCTGAGCCAGGCGCTGGCAGGTGGGGAACATTGGGGGGAGTTGGATTTTGACCAGTCATATGCTTGGATGTAAGCCTGGTTGCTGCAGGTCACTGCGACCTGTAACGATGGGCGAGACAGCAAGTATGATCCTGCATCCCTTGATTCACGCTTGCGGTGACCCCTGTCTTAACACATATCCCCCACTGCGCACCATCTGGTATCCCAGCCGCCCAGCCCCGCCCCCCAAATTCATCCCATGCAGACGCGCGCGCCTCGCTGTCTATCCTGAAGGGTCGGCACACGCTGGAGGGCGACCGCATGCGGCGCACGCGCGCCGCCGCGGCCGCCTCGGCGGTGAATTTGAAGCAGCGCTGTGGCGGCTGCAAGACCTGCATGAACCTGCTGGCGGGGCAGCGCCGCTACGAGTGCCTGACGCAGCGCATGAAGGCCGCCGCGCTGTCCGGCCACGCCGGCGCGCAGCTTGCAGTGTGCCGTGAGGACGCGCTGGGCGCGCGCGTGCGCGTGTGGTGGGACGGCGACGCCACCTTCTACTCGGGCGTGGTGGCGCACTACGACGCCGTCAGCACCGAGCACACCGTCTGCTATGACGACGGCGAGGTGGGCATGCACAAGCTGTGGCAGCATGACGAGCGCATCAACGTGGAGTCGGGGGTGGAGGAGTGGCCGCGGGAAGCCGAGGCGGCCAGGCAGAAGCTGCGCACCGCACACGACCTGCTCCGCGACAAGAAGCGCGTGGTGAGGGTGTGTTTTGGGGGGTTTGGGAGGGGGTTGGAGGAAACCATTTCCCTCTGGGAGGTTGAAAGCGGTGCACCATCATTACAGCCTGCCCTGCTGCACCATCTTAGAGCTTGTGGTGGAGGATGAGATTTCCGGTCCTCGGTCCTCGGCCCTGCACAGAGTACTGTGTGCTCCAAGTCCACTGCTCCTGCGGGGGCTGCGTCGCGAGCAGCGCCCTCGTGAGGATGGCCGGCCGGCTCAACGCCCACCCCCGCCCACCCTGCTCCCAACCTGACAGGGCTCCCCGCCGTCGGCAGCCCAGCTGCCGGCGCTGGGCCTCAGCGACTATGAGCAGAAGCGGGCAGAGCTGGTGCGCCGCAACCGGCTCATGTTCGAGCAGACGCTGGCAAACGGAGGGGAAGCGGGGTTGGAGGGGCCGGGCAGCGGCGAATCTGGCGTCGCGGCGCCAGGGGAGACGGCCGTGGAGGGGCCCGCGAGCCTGGCAGGGGGAGCATCAGGGCCGAGCCAGGACTGGTCTGGAGGCGGCCAGCGGCCAGAGGCAGTGGTGTCGGTGTCCCTCCCTGCAGGCGCGCCTGTCCAATCCGCCCCAAAGCGGAAGCACTCTGCCAGCGGCAAGAAGGGCGGCAGCAAGAAGAAGAAGGCGCACGGCGGCGCGGCCACGTGCCCTGCCAATGGAGCCAAGGCGGGCAATGCCCTGGACGCTGAGCAAGGGCCCGCGACGCCGACGCCCACCCAGCCCAGGAGGAGCCTGTGCGTGCTGTGTCGGAAGACTGGGGGCACAGCCTGCATGGTGGTGAGCAGGGGTGGGTGGTGTGGGGCAGTGCATGGCGGATTCGATGCACAGCATGACGGCTCAGGCCCACAGCCTAACACATCGGGGTCATCACATACAGCTCCCATCGCTCCAATCCCTGCAGTCGTGCGTGGGGTGTGCAGCGGCGGATGTTACGCCGCCCACGCTCTCCCACTCCACGTGCCGAGGCCGCGAGGCGGCGCGCAATGACGAGGACCCGCTGCAGGACTGGAGGTGCCCCAAGTGCCGCGCAGCGCAGCGAGAGCTGGGACCCGAGCATGCGCTGCGGGGGCTCGCCGAGGCGGTCCTTGTGGCGGCCTGAGTGACGAGGTGAATTGCACAAGTTTGAAACTGGCACAGGCTGGCTTGTGGATGGTGTTGTTTTCTAGCTCAGTTTCCAGTATGATCTGTCCAGACGGGTCGACACCAGGCAGTGATGCTCTTCCTTCCAGGATTTGCGAGGGCTTACTTCTTTTTGAGTATTGCCTACTCTTACTTCAGCAATGCAATGATCACCAGTGCAGGCCTAAGGCAACTGTCATGGATGCGCCTCTGACATCTTCCCTTTTCGAGTGATCCTGTTCACCTTGTTTGAGCACCTTTGACATCCTACACGTAAGACAGCATGATTGCATGTCATAGCGATTCCTGCTCACCCTGCGCCAGATGAGGTCCAATGCACGCCAGTCAGCTAGAATTGATGCAGGGAATGAAGAGTGCTGGTGGGTGCATGAATCACAGCGTCTCATCAATCCTACCAGCCATTCATGGAGGGCACGCCTTCTGGGGTGACAAAGCCACAGCTTTTCTCTCAGTAGCTTTCAGGCTGCCCCAGGCTGGCCCCAGGCTCTGCGGGCCCAGGCATCGGCGCCAGCCAGCAGCCTGGTGAGGCACAGCGCCAGACCGACGACGAGCAGCACGACCGCGACCAGGAGCCCGGCCCGCACCAGCACCCTCTGTCGCTGCTGCCGCAGCCTCAGCTCCCGGGCGGACGGCGCGGGGGGGTGACTGGGGCCGGCAGGGCGCGCTACACGGTGGCCTATCTTCTTGCCGTCGTCGACCGCTCCTCCCTCCCCAGCCGCGCGCTGGAGCAGGCCCGAGCGTGGCTTGGGGGCCGCCGGGCCCCCAGCCGCAGCAGGGATGCCGCTCGCCTCGTCAGGCGGCGCCGGTCCCTTGGCGGCAGCAGCCTCGGAGCGCGCCGGCCCAGGCTTGGCCCTGCAGGCGGCACTGCATGGCAGCAGGCGGAGGGCCACGCCGTCCTCGACCCGGGGCTCCCGCCCGCTCCTCGCCAGCAGCGCGCGCGCCTCGACGCAGGGCATCCGCTGCTTGGTCGCCTTGCAGGCGCACCGCACCGTCACCAGCTCCTGGCAGGTGCCGGACCCGGGACAGGGGCCCCCGTGGCATGGCTCTGAGAGTGCGGGACGGGGAGGCTTCTGTTGGGAGGGCTGGCATCGAGGGACACAAGCACAATTACACAGGTGCCAGGGCTACGCTCGTGTGGGCAAGGAGAGCCTCACCGTCGCATGTCCACGCTTGCGCCGATTGGTGATACCTCGCTGGCCTATGGACACACATGCATGGCCATCTGCCCATGCTCAAGGCAGCCCACCCCCCTCCCCGGACCACACCGACCTCGGCAAAGGTGGGGACACAGGGGCAGCGTGCGGAGACAGACAGCCCCGCAGCTGCGCAGGTCGCGGTCTGGTCGGGACTCCTGACCAGTCAGCTGCGCGCAGGCGATGCTGAGCGTCGACTTGCCGCAGTGGCATGCCTGGGAGGGGGGCGAGGGGCCGGGGGGTACGGGGATTGAGACCAGCCATGGCTTTGGATTGGGACTCGGGGACAAACTCGTGGCGAGCGCAGCCCCACCTCGATGCAGCACCGATGGCACGCAGTGCACTGCAGCAGGGAGCTGTAAAGGCGCACCCTGAGACCCCCTCACAAGCGCACCTGCTGCACCAGCTCTACACACACTGGGCAGGCGTCCGGGTGGCAGGCGAGCGGGCAGGCGTGCGCGCACGCCCCCCGCGCCACCCCACACCGGCGCGTGCAGGGCGTGCAGGGTCCCGCGTGGCAGGCGAGCGCGCAAGCATGCCGCCCGCACGCCAGCGGCTTATCGCAGGGCGCGCCGCAGGCGTAGGGGCCGCTTGCGCTGCAGGGCAGCTGCCGCACCTCGTGGCCTCCGAGGCAGGGCGCCGCAACAGGGTGCATGCAAGGCGGGCAGGGCGTCATCGCCTGTCCATCCCGCACAGCCCGCTCCGTCGCCTCTGCGGCGGCCGACACGGGTCCGCTTCGGTCGACGCTTCGGTCGGCGGAACCACTCGCCGCCGCGGCCCCGCCCGCCGGTGGCGGCCGGGGGGCGGCGTACTCTGCCACTGCCGTGGGAGCGGCGTCATGGCACGCCTCGCTGGCGCACAGGTGCCCGCAGGGCAGGCGAGTGCCGCAGGGCAGCGGGCAGGGCGGACAAGGGCCGTAGTGGCAGGCATGTTGCGCACGCTGGGCCGGGTCCCCGCCGGCGTGTCGGCACGGCGCAGGGACGGCGCACGGCTGGCGGCAGGCGGGCGGCGCGGCGGCGCGCTGGGCGCCGCACGGCACGGTGTGCGCACTGTGCCCGCACGCACAGGTCAGCGTGACCCTCATCTGGCAGGGGCGGCAGGGGCCGGCGTGGCACGGCGCCGCGCAGCGGTGGCTGCCGCACCGCAGCCTCCGCCCGCAAACCTGGTGGGGCGGTACTTGGGAGGGGGATGAGGGAGCTCTGGCGGGCAGAGTTTTGGCCCAGGTTGTAGGGGATGTTTTGCCCCCCGCTCACCGCAGCGTCCCTCAGGCCTAGGCGTCACCCACGAAAACCCTGCATGCCCCGCGCATCCACCCAGCTGTGCACAAGCTCGGCGGTGTAGCCCCGCCGCCTCCCCTCCATGCAGTTCCCTTCTCCAGATGCAAGCGCCCTTTGGCACCCTCGCAAACTCCCCTCGCATTGGCCCCCCTCTTCACCCCACCCACTCCAACCACACACCTCCTCGCACGGCGGGCAGTCGCCCGAACAGCAGCGGCGCCTGCAGGCGTGCCGTCCACAGGCCCTCATGGCGGCGCACCTCCGGTCGCAGCGCACCTCCTCCCCACACCGGGTGCGGCGGCTGGTCTTGCCGCAGGCGCAGGTCCCGTCGACCCAGGCGCGGCAGGCGGAGGGGCAGGGCCCGGCGTGGCACCGCTCCTCGCACGTGTGCTGGCCGCAGGGCAGGGACTTCCCGCAGGTGGCGCCGCAGGGGGGCACCTCCTCCCCGCACCCGGCGCCGGCGCGCCCCGCCGTCTTGCCGCATGGGCAGGTCTGTCGGCCCGCCAGGGGGCAGGCGGGGCAGGGGCCGGCATGGCACACCAACGCGCAGGTGTGCGCCCCGCAGCCCAAGGGCTTGCCGCACGTCTTGCTGCACGACCGCGTGCCTCGTTCCCAGCACTGCACGTTCTTGAAGACCTGTGCTCCGCAGCGGCAGGGCAGGATGCTCGACGCGGTGCACGGAGGGCAGGGGCCCTGTGTGTGTTGAGTGGGCAGGTGAGAGGGTTGTGTCAGAGTGGTTTCTGAGGTGGAAAGGTGGGTGACAGGTGGATTGTGTCCTGGCACATGGGTGTGCCTGCAGGATTGCTGCCACTCTGACCCAGGAGCTGAGCCCCTGCAGATCCCGTCCCCTTCCCATTCATTGGAGGTTTTCACCCCCTGCCACCCCAGTCTGCGCTCACCGCATGGCAGGGCTGAGAGCAGGCATGTCCACACCCCCTCTGCCTCCCGCAGACAGCGCCGCAGGCAAAGGCGGCGCTGTGGCAACGCCGCTGCTCCGAGGCTGCCCCGCAGTGGCAGCTGGCGAGGAGCATGCGCGGGCACGGCGGGCACGGGCCTGGGGTGAGGAGAGACTGAGGGTTGAATGGCAGTGAAGTGTACCAGAAGTGGGGGGAGTATGGTTGGGCAACGGTGAGATCGCTTGGGCAGTGGCGAAGTGCCACTTGACAAGTTGAAAATCCATAGAGCACCAGGCATTCTTTGCGAGGCAGACGACGTACCTGGGTGGCAGAGCAGGGCACAGGGGTGCCCACAGCCGGGGAGCGGACGGCCACAGGTCCCGCCGCAACTGCATGGTGAATTTGAATGAAGTGAATAGGGTCAGCGCTGGAGTCACCCTTCCTTTGAGATGAAGAAGTCAGGTGCACGATGGCAGTCTGCTCTGCAAGCTCTGACCAAGCATGGTCAAGCCCCACTGGCACGTCAGCGTGCACTGCCTGCACGCCAGTCACGACACCATCGTGAAGGGACCCCTCCAGCCCTCCGACTCCAAGATCGCACCTGTGCGCCAGGAGCCAGGGGTCGGCCGCGGGCTCTGCCACCTTGCCGCAGAAGCAGGAGTAGTCCCGGGGGATGGCAGAGGCTGCATACTCATGGCGGCACTTGGGACAGGCCCACGTGGGCGGGGCCTGGCCGGGGTCACGCTCGATTTGACCCAGGCTGTGGATTGTCTTGGCGTCTGCCGCGTCCAGCTGCTGCCGCGCCCAGGACTGTGCGCAGCCAAGGTGGGTCATCACGTAGCACCCCCCACGACAGTACCACACAGCTTCTGGGGATGAGTGAGGGGGGGGGGGGCCGTGGCGCCAAGCAGTCTTGTATGGCATCGATGGCTCTCCAGGGCCACAGGCAGTCACCACTCCAGCATCCCTACCTGCTGATGCTATGGTCTCCAGGCATACTAGGCACACTGCTGCATCATCCTGGCATTCTGCCAGGTGCTCCCTCACTCGAGCGAGCAGGTGTGGCTGGGGATCATTGTAGCCCTGCAGGGCCAGCTCCATGGCGTGCATGCTCGACGACACTCAGACGGATGAGCAAGCACAGCAAGGCCACCTGATCCTAATTTGGAGTCTTCTGTGCGGCTGGAGGGCCAACGCTGGATACACCCTCGAAAGGGTGTCCGAGTGGAATGGTCTGCATCATGTATACAGAAGGCAGAGGGTAATCGTTAAAAACATTAACATACATATCAAGCCATGCACGCATCATGTCCTGTGACCATCGAAGTACATGCCACTTGCCAGATCGGGCTTGAAGACGTGGTGCACCACGGTCGCCCCAGCGAGTAGCGAGGCCATCGCCACGGCATAGGCCTTCAGATACGACATTCCCGTGCCTTATGAATATTGTCGTGTCCAGCGTCCGCATGTCCTGCCCTAATGTGGAGTGAGCCAGGAAGACGCACGGCTACTTCACGCGCAGGTGCCGGGTCTTGGGGCGCGCGCGCGCGCATGGGGACCCGCTTCTGTCACTTTGCCCTTCAACCCTTTTGGTAACCGAGCCTGAACTCCTGCAGCACGCGCATTCTACATCTTAAAACCCGGCAGGCACATCATGCCCGGGGATTTCTAGGGGAGGGACCTGCGCCCCCCTCAGTACCGCAGCCAGTATGTCCTCCGGCGCAGCCACGTGTAATCGGGCAGGAACTGTGTGTCCCCCAGGGCAGCCACGGCCACATCCTGCGGGGTGTTGTTCTGAAGATGGTGAGGAGCAGCATGCGGGGCAGTTTCATTGACCTCGGCGGTGGTAGGGTTCGTGCAGGAAGCACCTGCGCCTTGCAGACCCATCCTCATCCACCTTTCTTGCACCCCTCAGTTCCTCCACCTCTCTATCTCTCCCTCCCACCTGGTCGTTGAAGAAGCGGTAGGCGACGTCCTTGACCGCGGCTGCGTCCACCGCGTCGATGCGCGCAAACAGCTCGGCCTTGGGGATGCGGCGTCCGTAGACGAGCAGGTTGCGGCCGATGTCCTCCGCCATGCCTGGGGGTTGGTTGGTGAAAGGCAGGGTGAGAACGATGGGCGAGGGTGGCCACCTCGGAGCGAGTCCATCGCAAGAGCTCTGAGGGCAGCCGCAACCCACATACACCTCTGTCAGCCTTACCTCCGCAAACTTTGTGACCATTTCACCCCCCGATCGACCCCTCCCTCCTCACCCCTCCCTCCCGCCCAGCTCCCCCTCATCTTCACTACACCTCACAAGATCCCACGTGCCTGTGGTGCCATCGCCGGAGAACAGGATGGAGGCCTTGAGCTGGTTCTTGGCGCGGTCCACGTCGGTCTGGCTCACACCGTAGGTCAGCCCCGTGATCTTGTGCAGGATGGTCCAGGCCAGGTCCTCATGGTCGGCGTCGTTGTCGGCCACGGCGTAGACGCCAAACAGGCCGGTGTCGTGGTAGTTGGTGTTGAAGGCCATGAAGGAGTTGGCCAGACCGTTGACCGCCAGGGGCTGGACCAGGGGGCTGGCCGCCTCGGACCCAGCGCCAGAGTTCTTCTCCCACGCGCCCAGCAGCGTCTGCGGATGATGAGTGGGTTGGTGGGTGGGTGGGGGTTGAGGGAAGGAATGTCTAGGCACTCGCGCCCGCACACCACCACTGAGGTACAGCCTCCTGAGCATCAAGTTCCCCCCCACCCCCCCACCACACACGACACACACCCACCTGGATGACCATGAGGGGAACCGAGTCGGGGTCGGCCCAGGAGGCGCCCTTGTAGGCCAGGGCAAAGTGCAGATTGGCCTGGTCAGGGTCCCTGATGCGCACCTCGCTGCCGGTGTACAGCGCGGGCTCCTGAGGTTCAGAAAGGGGTTCGGGAGGCTTGAGTCGTCCCCGCTCCTCGCTGCCACCGCGCCCCTCTTTGTCCCCCGGCCCCGCATGACACCCGGGCGTCCACCCCCTTCCCAATCACCAACGCACCTTGTCCACGAGCTGGGAGGCCGTGGGCCCATCGGAGGGCAGCTTCCCAAAGCCCTTCTCCACCGCGGCCACCAGGGCCTCGTGATCGACGGCGCCCGCAGCGGCCACCACGATGCGCGGCGCGCGGTAGTTGGTGGTGATGTAGTCCACCAGGTCGGCGCGGGTGAGGGAGCGGATGTTCTCCGCGGGCCCCAGGATGGTGCGGCCCAGGGGGGAGTGCTGGAAGGCGGTGGCGTGGAGGTGGTCGAAGAGCACCTCCTCGGGGATGCCCTCGATCTCCTGCTGCTCGCGCAGGATGACGTCGCGCTCGCGCGCGATGGCGCGCTCCTCCAGCTTGCTGTTCTGCAGGATGTCGGCCAGGATGGCCACCGCCTGGGGCACATCCTTCTGGAACACCTTGGCGTAGTAGGCCGTCTGCTCGCGGCTGGTGTATGCGTTCAGGTGCCCGCCCAGGTTCTCGATCTCCACCTCCAGGTCGCGCACACCGCGGCTGGCCGTGCCTTTGAACGCCATGTGCTCCAGAAAGTGGGCCGCGCCGTTGGTGGCATCGGTCTCGAACCGGCTGCCGGCGTCGATGTACACGCCCACCGTGGCCGTCTCGGCAAAGGGCACAGACTCGCTGGCCACACGCAGGCCGTTCGCCAGGGTGGAAACCTGGTGTTGTTTTTGAAGGGATAAGGGAGGGGGAAGGATTGATGAAGGGGTGATGAACGGAGGAGAGGGAGGGGATGACGGGCTTAGAACGACCCAGAGCAGGGGTGGTCTCAACACATGGGGGTCCACGATCGATGCGCCAACCCGGCTCCGCGAGGCCGATGGCGATCCCACTGTCCCTGCATCTGATAACAACAACAAGCCTATACTATAATCCACCTTGGTCTCCGGGAGCTGGGCCAGGGCTGAGGTCAGGTTCAGCTGGGCGGGGAAGGGGGAGGCGTAGCGGGTGAACACCTCGCTCTCTACCACCGCGGCCTCAGAGGAGGCAGCATACCCGCGCAGCTGCTGCAGCAGCCCCGAGTTGCGCTTGATGAGCCGCAGCATGACGGGAGCGGGGGTGCGGGGACGCAGGCACCGGGCCGATGAGTCACCTCCAGGCCCGAGACTGGAGTGGTAAGAACTTCACCGAGCCTGCAGCGGTATGACCTTCCGACAGCACGGTGCGGGGTTTGGGCAAGGGTTCCGGGGGCAGGGGGGGTGCACCACATGTCGCCAGGGAGTGCAATCGTGCCTGCAGGCGTGAATGCGCGTGGAGGTTACCCCCCGGGGGAGGTACTGCTCATTTTCCCATGCTGCCCACACCAGCCAAGCGCAGCTGGGTCAGGCAAGGCATGCCCACGACCAGGTGTCGGTCGTTCCACAACTACTCGTTGATTAACTGCTTGAACAATCGCCCTGGAGCCGAATCAGCATTGCTGCTGCCCCGGAGCCCCGAACGGCCCTATCCGAATTCCGGAACCGCAGCCTCATGTCCGTGGCTGCCACCGTGATCCAGACGAATGGCATAGAGAAGGCTGCCAGCGAGCCCATCGCCAAGACTGGAGCTGGGGCTTCTCGTGATTCATCCGGCGGGGTGCCGCACACCACGTACGACGACGTCGACCCTGCCACCTACCTGGGCCCCCACGGCGCGGAGAGGGATCTCGTCAATGCGCAGGGCCTGAGGTTGAAAACCTTCTACTGGCCTGCAGACCAGGCCAGATCCGTGCTGCTCTTCGTGCATGGCCACGGCGCGCACGGCCTGTTCGAGCTCTTGCAGATCGAGGTAGGCGGATGAGAAGGGTTTTTGACCAACAGGCGCATTTGCCCGTGCCCGCTCGCCAAGATCCTTGCCGACGCGTGTCTCAGGCGTGGATCAGCCCATACCGATGTGTGTCCTCGTGCCCGTACCTGATGCTGCAGGAACTGGGGCAACCTCCCCTGTATGGGGGCTGGGTCCAGAAGTTCAACGAGGCAGGCATCAGCGTCGTGACCCTGGACAATCAGGGCTGTGGCCGCTCAGATGGTGCCAGGAACCTCCGGTACTTTGTGGAGTCCTTCCAGGACTACGTGAACGACGTCCTGCTCCTGCGCCGGTGGGTGTCGAGATGCACCAAGTCACTTTAAGGCATGGGCACTGCTGGGCGGGCAGCTGTGATCCTGGGTCGGGCTTGCATCTGTCTATGCGTCACGCCCTGGCGCTCGATGCCATCAAAACTACCACCACAACCACCACATGCCAAAAGGACACTGAGCGAGGTGGACGTGCCCGGCTTCCGTGACCTCCCGGTCTTCCTCTCTGGCATCTCCATGGGCGGCTGCGTGGCGCTCCATGCCGCGCTCGAGGACGTGAGTGCCTAGGTTTTGACGTCCTGCCATTGAGAGCCCATGTGCTGGCCCGGGGCACAGGATTGATCCACAGCAGTTCATCCCCTGCTCTGGAACCCGCTGCCCAGAACCAACGGCCTTCCCACTCCCCTTTTACCGCAGCAAACCCTGTTCCGGGGTCTCGTGCTTCTGGCCCCCATGCTGTCGCTGCAGCGCGTCTCCCGCCGCGGCCTGAACCCCTACATGCGCCCCGTGGCGGCGTTGCTCAGCCGCATCGTGCCCTGGGCGGCCATCGTGGCGACGGACCGCAACAAGCTCAACCCCGTCCTGCAGGACCAGTGGGACTCGGGTGAGCTTGCTTTTTGGGGCCAGGGGAAGCTGTGCGGGGGGGATCTCCTTGGAGCACACACTGATGGGGCGCAGGCATGGACAACTCTCCCAGGACCTCAAATCTTGGTCTTGGAGTGCTGGACCCTTCCAATATCCTCGCCCTCCCTCTTCGCCAAATCCCCACGCGACGGCACCTACAGACCCGCTGGTGGCGCACATCAACACCCGCGTGCGAAACGCCAATGAGTACCTGCGCTGCACCGAGTCTATCATGGGGCGGCTGGGCGAGGTGACGCTGCCATTCATCGTGGCGCACTCGGAGAATGACTCCATGTGCGACCCGGACGGCTCCAAGGCGCTGTACCGGGAGGCGCGGGCCACCGACAAAACCATCCGCCTGGTGAACCACATGTGGCATGTGCTGCTCAAAGAAGGCGGGAATGAGATCTTGCTGGAGGAGCTAATTGCCTGGATGCAGGCCCGGCTTTGAAAGGAAGCATGTGCATGAAGCACTCGCCCGCCCGGGGATGGACTTTGGGGACGGCGCATCGTCCCCTGCAGGAGGCGACATCTGCGCCAGGGACTGTCGCCTGGTCCCTTCCCCCCGCCCACCGCACCACCTCCCTCCCTTACAGCTTGCACTGTTCGGCCCCTGCGTCAGCAATTGCTTGCTAGTATGACTCGGCGAGGCCCTCTTTCCTGACTACCCCGAGGAAGAATCGGTAGCTGCCACACGCATTGCATCGCTTGCAAGAATTCCACTTGTCAAAGACACGATGTGTACCTGATCTCCTGTGCTTCCCACCTGTTGTACCCCCCAATCCAACCTGCATGGCTCCTCCCAGGGGACCCCCTGATGTCGACATGTCTGTTCTCCCACCATGACTGTACATCTAAACTGGTGCGGTTTGGGGTCTGGACATTGCCAGCGGGGCATGCGCCCCTGAGGCAGCATGGCGCCGGCCTGGCGACCCCATCCCAGGCAGTGCACGAGGAAGGGTGACCGGGTCCTCACGCTCTATACAATGGTGTACGCTTGCTGCACTCTGATCACATGCCTCCCCGCCCTCCACCGGAATGGAGCTCTCCATAGGCACTGGGTCGTCTCGTCCAGTTCAAAAATCTGCGTGCGTGATGCAGACCAGGCTGGAGGTGGGGCAGTCGGAGCGGCACAGCGGGCACTCCGGCTTCTGGGCCGCCCACTCCGCAATGCAGGTCCAGCAGAAGACGTGGCCGCAGGGCGCCGCGGTGGCTGCCACGCGCGCCGAGAGGCAGAGCGGGCACCGCCGCCGCGGCGCGACGTCGGCCGCCGACTCGGCCGCACCGCTGCCCCGGCTGGTCAGCGAGGCCGCCCGCGGCGGCGGGTGGACGTCCGGCAAGCGCGCGCCCGCCGCGTTCACCATCGCCGCGTGCACGATGGCGGCGGCGGGCCCCGACCCGGCCGCATGCCGTGCCGCGCCGCGTCTGGCGACCAGCGCCATGATGCCGCCGGCCCCTAGCTGCGCGAGGAGGAGGTAGCCCAGGGTTCGGTAGGAGGGTCCTCCCCCGGCCTCCCGTCCCGCGGAGATGTACCGCACGCCCGCCAGGCGCTTGGGCAGCGCGTAGTAGGCGCCCCAGACGTAGAACAGGGCCAGGTGGAAGCGCAGGAGCGCGCCGCCGTGCTCGCGCAGCGTGGAGTGCAGCGCGACCATGGCAGGCCGCTCCGCCAGGGAGCCGGCGGCGCCCTGCACAGCGCGCAGGGCCTCTCGCACGCGACGCGCGAGCGCAGCCCACGCCCGGCGCGCCGGCGAGGCACCCCGGTGAGTATCTTCAGTCTCGCGCTCCTCGTCTGCGCGCGCGCCCAGCTGCGCGGACTGGCGCAGGCGGCGCCAGGCTTCGGCCTCCTCGTCCACGGGCGCTCCCAGCCGCTCCAGGCAGTAGGGGCCCAGGGACTGGAGGAGGGTCAGGGCCCCGCGCTGGAGCGGGGAGGGGGGCAGGCCGCGGCCGCCAGAAGACTGCAGGATGTCACAATACTCCTCGCCCAACGTCTGCCGGCCCGTGCCGGTGGTGCAGGCATAGTAGAGGAGCTCCGCCAGAACCCGGGTCTCCCTGCAAGGCCGGAGGGGGTGGGGGGAAGCGGTTTGGTGGGGGTGGGGGAGGGGTTGAGGGGAAAGAGTGTCGAATGGGTAGAATGGGAAGGGTCAGACATTGCATTACCCTCAGGCATGGAAGGCCAGGAAGACACAGATGCCCCAATCGACATGCATTCCTCCAGGACTCACTTGGCCCACTTGAGCGCAGGACCTGGGCCGAGCAGGCGCCTCACACTGTCGTGACACGCCTCGCTGAGCTGCTGGAGGTACACCTCATCCTGGGAACGGCGAGCAACAAGGCCTTGATGAGGGCTGCTGGAAAGTGACGGTGCATCGCACGCACCATGCGCCAGACGTTTTACTGCTCGCTCATCACAGGCCCAAACTCACTTTTTGAGTAGCTCTGATGAGGTTGGCCTGGCCAGCAGGGGGGAAGGCGCGCGGGGATGGTCCCGGAGCAGGCTCGGCCATTCTCCCGTGTGCCGAGTTTATGCAAGAGCGACCGAGTAGGGTCCCATCTTGGGAAGGAGCGTGATAATAAAGTACTATTTACTGTAAGATTAGGAAATAGAATGTATGGCTAGTCGCCACAGCCTGCATCGTTCGTAACAAAGAGGTATGTAATGCGGGATTCCCGACACCCTCCGCGCTTTTTCGACACCCGTGGTGCAGGCACTGCATGATGCGGTGAAGCCCATGCGATAAGGAATGAGCGCATGTACAAACTACAGATGATCTAAGTCGCAATGTGTTGATAAAATGCGGATCCGTGCACTCATTGTGCGGAGGAGTGGTGGCTGAATGATTCTCCTCAGGCTGCCTCCCTCCCTGGGCAGCCTGGCCTGCCGGCGACTGAGGGCGTCGCGATGGGTGAGCAGCGTTCGGTGCATGCATAGCGATGCAAGAATTGATCTCATATCCACCGGCCCAGAGGCCAGTGACAGGCTCGCGGAGTTCATCGCCTCTGCCAGTGCTCCTGGGGATGCGTTTCTCCTGTATGGCGAAGTGGGAGCCGGCAAGTCGCACTTCAGGTGCCTTTGGAGAGTGAAACTTGCCTCAGGCGGATAATGGGCTCGTTCATGTATGCTTTGAGGTTGAGGACATGATGGGTCCTGCCACTAATCTAGTCCACCCCCCACTGCGCAGCCGCGCCTTCATCCGCGCCGCTCTGAAGGAACCCTGCTTGGATGTGCCGTCCCCCACCTACCTTTTACAGAATACTTATGAAGATGCAACAGGTGTTGTGCTGTGCGGGGATGTCGTTCTGGGGCTGATGATTTTGCCTCAGTATGGGCTGAGATGGCCCCTCCTTGTATTGCGCCCCACACCTCCATGCACGCGGGACCAGTCGTGACCTGCACACCTTCGCACATCCCTGCTGCCCGCCGTCCCCGCCCTTCTGCGCCCAACCTGGTAACCCCCCCCCCCCAACACTACCTGCAGGTCGCCTGTACCACCACTACGACCTGTACCGCCTGACAGACCCCTCCTCCCTGGCACGGTTGGACCTGCCCTCCGCCCTCGCCGCCGGCACCTGCCTGATCGAGTGGCCCGAGCGTCTGGGCGCCTGCGCCCCTGCCCACCCCGTCACCCTGCGCATCGCCTGCGTGGCGGGGGCGGCCGAAGAGCGACGCCTGTTCTCGCTTTCCTTCCCGGACCGGGACGCGGCGCGCTGGGTGCAGGTCGTGCGGGCCCTGAGGGCCCTGGGCCACCGGGTCGGCCTGGATGTCCAGGATCAATCCGGGGACGCCCAGGCGTGAGCCCGCGGGGCACTACCGTTGCATTCATCTCCCTTCCTTCCGTCCTTCCCACCCCAGCCTGAATTTCCCTGCGTTGGTCGGTGGCGGTATGTACAGTGTGGCAGGGGCGTCGCGCGTCTGTCCGGTCAGGAGTCGTGTGGCGCCCCGAGGGCATCAGCCAGCGCCGCGGCAGTGCACGGGAGGTGGGGTTCCCCGGGTAAGGGGCGCAAGCCGCCAGGCACGTCAGTGTCAGTCAGGGACCTTGGGGGCCCAGAGGGGCCTGCAATTGTCAGGCCCCGCCGTCCCCGTTTCTAGCTCACTGTGCGTCCGTATGCCACGCCAGAGATGTACAGGTTCTTTGCCCACTTTTCCTGGGAGGGAGGAGGGTGGAGCGCATGGGTATGAGGGGGCAAGTTTGTGTTTGTGCAGGGTATCAAGGGGCAAATGAGGGAGAGTAGGATGGAAGTTGTGTGGCTCGCCAAGCTTAAGGCCTTTGTGGAAAGACACTGTGGATTGAGGCCACATGGTAGCATGCGAGCCTGATCCAAGCACCTTCGTGCCACCCCTCCCATTGCTGCACACTCGCCCTGCTGTACAGCCTGTCCTGCCACTCGCACCTGCATTCCCAACCATGAATCACGCCACCGTGCCCCCCCCACCCCCCCACCACTACCACACAAACAGACCGCCGCGCACTTTGACATGGGAGGAGGGGAAGGCGGAGGTGCGCAGCGTCTCCTGCGTCTCGTCCACCGGCCGGCGCTTGGGCACGGAGAGCACAAAGGCGGCCTGGTCGCAGGTGGCCGCGGCGGCGGTGATGCGGTACCCCGCGTCCCAGCGCCGGTGGATGCCCTCGGAGGAGTACTGGAAGTCCAGCTCCACCACCTGGTCCACGAAACCGGCGTTGCGCGACATGACCACCGCCCAGCGTGACCCGGCGCTGGCCATGGCAGTGACGAAGAACCCCTCCTTCCACTTCTTGTTGATCCACTTGAAGGGGAAGGAGTCGGAGACCTTGTACGACTGCTGCGTGTAGGCCGTGCCCTTGCTCATCACCACCAGCGAGCTGCCGCCCACCGAGCCTGGGAGACGGGGTGGGGGTGGGGGGGTGTTGGGCTGGGTGGGTTGGGCGAGACGGGGAAGAGGGGCCATTCCTGTACCATGAATCGCGCAGGTCCATGCAGCGTCCCGGGGACCGGAGCTTGCTGAATCGAAGACCAACCCCCTCACCCGCACCCCCATCCCCCCACAAATCACCCACCTGCCATGGTGGTGATGTAGTACCCCTCCTCCCACCGCTCCATGATCCAGTCCTTAGGCAGGAAGACGGGGTTCAGCTCATAGACCTGCGCGATGAAGCCGCCCCCCGCGTCCATGATCAGCGCCCACAGGTCCTGGCAGCAGGCCACGGTGGAGATGGCCAGCCCGTCCTCCACACCCTTGTCGATGTGCTGGCGCACCCGGTTGTCGGCCACATTGTAGTGGTAGCGCTGCTTCATGGGCCGGTGGGCGTTGTACACCGTCACCCACTGCGTGGCGGGCATGCCCAGCCGCACGCGACGCCCCGGCACCAGGGCCGGGGCGGGGGAGGCGCGCTCGCCGCCGCCGCGCTCGCCGCCGGCGCCGTCGCAGGAGCCCTCCTCGCGCGAGCGCTTGGAGCCGACGCGCGTGGGCGGCAGCACTGGGCGTGAGGGCCCTGAGGGGCCGCAGAGAGGCTCAAAGAGGGCCATGAGCGCAGCGTACTGCGGCACCTCGTCGAAGCGCAGGTTGATCACCGTCTCGGTGAACACGCGGAAGGGCGCGGGCGCGTAGCGGCTCAGCGCCTCGGGCGAGGTGCTCATCTTCTTGCGGCACACCATGAAGCCCTTGTTCTCGCCCTGGGGATATGGGTTGGGATGGGTGGGTGGGTGGGTGGGTGGGGGCATGGATTAAAGGGGGTAATAAGAGCTGCGAGTGAGGGCCTCACAGCCTTGGAAGCAGGCAGGGCATGAGGATCAGTGACTTGACAAGAAGCCTGTGACGCAGCCTCTCCTTTCCCACCATGTAAACCTTGGCGCCTTGCCAGGACTGGGCCTCTATAGCCACACCCCCCTCCCCTCACACAATACCCTCCCCCCCCAAACTAACCTGGTACCCCTGCCAGGGCAGGCGCCCGCGCAGCAGGAAGAGCAGGGTGTAGGCCAGGGACTCGAGGTCGTCGCGGCGGCTGGCGGTGCGGCCCAGGTGCGCGTGCACGCTGGCATACCGCACCGTGCCGCGGAAGACGTCGGGGCGCTGGTCGTACTCCACATGGGTACCGCAGACGGAGCCGCGCCAGCGGGTCGCTGCGCGTGAGGGGAGGACATGGGGGAAAGGATTCGACTGGATTCGATGTGCGTAGGAGGGGAGCGCCGGGTTGAGTGGGGCCGGTGATGGGACTGGTCAAGCCATCTGCAGTTGCGATCTGGGTATGAACAGAGCAAGCTTGGGGAAGTCACACATCCCACACCCCACCCTCCCCAGGGAGCCACACATAAATACGTAGTACTTCAGCCCTTCCTTCAAAAATGCACCCGCCTGCACAAATGGCGCCCCTGTCCCTTTCCACTCCTCGTACCAAGCCCAAGGTCGACGAGGAAGAGCTTCTTCTCCACCGGCGTCCCCGCCAGGCCCATGAGAAAGTTCTCGGGCTTCACGTCGCCGTGTACATAGCCCTTCTCATGCAGCCGCTCCAGGATGGCGATGGCCTCCAGCGCGATGCAGGCCACCATCTCCTGCGACATGGCCTGGCCCTGTCCGTTCCACAGGTCCCACAGACTGGGGCCCAGCATGTCCATGACCATGATGTAGTAGTCGCCCTGCCGCCCCTTGAAGTGGACCTTGGGCACGCCCTCCACGTCCCCCAGTGCCCTGTGTGGGTGAGGAGGAAAGGGGGAAATTGAGAGGGCGGACACTCGTGGGGCAAGCGCCCCAGGTTGTGGGTGGGAGGGCATCGGCAGGTCTGGGAAGGGTAGTTCTAAGAGACGTGCCCCAGCACTGAAGAGGTGTCCACTCCTCATAGAGACGGCACTTCTCTGCGCTGCAGTTTGCATAAGTGAACTCCTTCTACCCCTTGTAGACGATTGAGAAACTCAGCCTGTTCATGCCATTGTCAAATAGATGCCTCAACGCTTACCCATAGACAGACCACTCGTAGGGCGGGCCATAGTTACAACCCTTGCTGCTGCGATGCTCCAGTTTCAGGGCTACCTGCAAGGAACCAGTCAGCGGCAGAGGTGGCCATATGATCCCATGTGTCTCCAATCGCCATCTCAATCCCACACCCCCAAATACTGCGCCTCTCTCCGCCCAGTCTGCCCACCTGGTTCACTCCCGTCAGCTCAGGGTCTTTGGAGGGGGGCGTCCTCCTGCCCAGGTACACCTGGCCAAAGCCACCCTTGCCCAGCTTTCGCTCGACTACATACAGGGGGCTTCCCCCAACTTGCACCTGCAGGGATCGGTGGGTTCGATTCCAGGGTTCAGGAAAATTACCACAGCAGGGCACACCCCCTGCAGCGCGGTGAAGATCCCTCACCTCGTCCGGGATGGGCGCGACCCCAGTCTGGGCAGCATCCTTCTTCTCCTCTGCCTCCGCCAGTGTAGCTGCGGCCAGCGGGGCCTCCCGCCTACTCGATTGAATTCAAGGACGCAATCTAGGAGCCCTATGTGCACTCCATGTGCGTGCGAGGGTCAGGGATCGCGGCGTTGGATTTGCCTGAGCCTCTATCCGTGAGCTGTTTGTGAAGTAGCGTCTCACGCCCGATACGAAGGTGGTCCTCTCGTCACCATCTGCCGGTATCTAGTTTGCCTTGGATCAGTGTGTGTGGAAGTGTCTCATCTGAGGGTCCTGGAGGAACGAAGAGGTCCACTTGTCCCGATTCCAGCTCTCCGATGCCTTGCGGAGAAAGTTTGAAATGCTGTCGATCAGCGAAGCCAGGAGCCCAAGACGTATGAGGCTCCTTCGCCTCATTCGCTGGAGCTCAGGCCTGAACCCAAATGCATGGGAGGATGGAGATGCAGATCGGATAGCATGGTGGCCCCCTCCTCCCTCCTGGACGCCTCGCCGTCCGTTACATCCCTGTCCAGTGTTCAGCTGCAAAGTGGGTGCTGAGGGGGTTGGGGCCCGGTGCTGGACTGCCAAGAGACTTTGTATTCGATGACGAATACTTTTCTCAAAGCCCTCATTTCCCCTTGGGTCCCACAGGCCAGCCTTCCTACGTGTCCGACCCCCCCATCGAGACAGTCGTCTTCGCCTGGGGCGCGTCAGAGGATGGCCAGCTGGTACGCCGCCTGGGCCCGGCATCCTTACTGTAGCATATTTCAGTCATATCACATGCAGCATGCCTCACTGACCACCCCCCTGCTCCCTTGGGACAGGGCTTGGACACCCGGCAGGATGTGCCCACACCCAAGGTGGTGGAAGCGCTGCTAGGCACCCGTTTCTGCGGGCGGCAGGCCGGCCGCGTGCCCCTGGTGGGTTTGGGGGGGTTGGGGGAAGTTCAGTATCCAGGGGGCTGCAAGGCATCCTTGCATTGACCCCTTTTCTTGAACGCTGCCGACGGGCACACGCGCTGCACAGCCTCCCTGTGACCAACCCCTCCCTCTTCTCCGGGCAAAACTTGGCAGATAGCAGGCAGCCGCGCCTCTGTGGGCATCGACGTGGACGGCCAGGTGCTCGCCTGGGGCTGGAACGGGCGCGGCACGCTGGGACGCGGCCACCGCGAGGCCAAGGGCGCTGAGCGCCCGCAGCGCGTGCTGGGGCTGGAGGGGCGGCGCATCGTGCAGGTGGCGCTGGGCGGCTGGCACTGCCTGGCCGTGGACGCGCGGGGCCAGGTCTATGCGTGGGGGGGTAACGAATATGGGCAGTGCGGGCTGGAGGAGGGGTTGAAGGACGTGGTGACGGCGCGGCCCTGTCTGCAGGGCATGCGCTTCAGGCGCATCGCGGCGGGGGGGATGCACTCCCTCGCCCTCACCGACAGCGGGGAGGTGTGTATGCATGGTTGGTTTTTTGGGGGGGAAGGGGGCGCTGTAAGCGGTCATGTGCTGGAGGGCCTAGGGTAAAACCCTTGCACGATGTTATTGACTCTGAAAGGCAAGAGTTCCCGAAGGAGATGAGCAGGTCGGCAAGGAAGGGGATGTTCCTTGCCTAGTACTGTACATCTCTCCCAAGTACCCCACTCATCATCCTCGAAAATCACCCCGCCCCTCTCCACACCCTCAGATCTGGATCTGGGGCGAGCCCTGGGGCGACTTCTCCATGACCGTGAGCCGGCGACCACGGCGCATCGACACCCGGTGCGACTACGTGGAAATCGCGTCGGGGGCCTTCCACAACCTGGCCATCACCTCGGAGGTGCGCTGGAGAGGGCAGCGGAGGGATGCGGGGAGCATGAACCTCAAATGGAATGATGGAGAGAGGAAGGACAAGGTTGCTGGGAACCAGGGCCATGAATGAAGCTCTCATTCCCCACACACGCCCAAACCCAACCCTCTACACAAACGAATCCTTGCACAGGGCCAGTGCCTGACCTGGGGCATCAACGACTTTGGGCAGCTGGGCAATGGCACCACCAATTACGCCACTGTGCCCGAGCCGGTTGTCGGGCTGGAGGGCGTCCACGTCACCGCCATCGCTGCGGGGGGCTGGCACTCGCTGGCCATTGCCAGCACAGGGGGTAAGAGAGGCTTGGGCGGGGGTGGCGGGCATCTGCACGCTCCTGGGCCCCGCCGGCAAGAATGGAGGGGTCGAGAGTATTTTGCTAGGTCCATTCAGCACCTCCTCGCCGTTCTTTTGGGGGGGCCCAAGCCCCTTCCCCTGCCTCCCAACCCCTGGAACTCCCCGTCGCAGCAGCAGTGCCGACCTGTTCAGTAGATATCCTTGGCGCTCCCCCTCTATTAACCGCTTGCACTGACTGCACTGCAAGCATCCCCTCCACCAACACACCCACCCTCGGCTCGCAGAGGTGTACGTGTGGGGCCGCGGCGAGTATGGCCGGCTGGGCGTGGGCGACCGCAGCGGGACCAGCCGCTTGCGCCCCACGCTGCTCACCCAGGGCCTGGAGGGCCGGCGGGTGGTGCAGGCCTCCTGTGGCGGCACCCACACCGCAGTGGTGACGGACGAGGGGCGCTGCTTCATCTGGGGCCGAGCCGCCTTTGGCCGGTTGGGCAGCGGCCATGCCCAGGACCTGCTGGCGCCCGCCGAGCTGGCGCTGCCGGGCGGGCCGGAGCGCTGGCGCGTGGTGGCGGTGGGCGCGGGTGGGCGGCACAGCCTGGCGCTGGCGGTGCCGGACTCGGGGCGCCTGGCTCCGCGGCTGGAGCGCGAGGCCACCTGGGCGGCGGGCGAGGCGGACGACGAGGCCACCGAGGGCGCGGCCAGCCCCGAGGGCGGCAGCGACGACGGCGGCGGCGCGGCGGGGTGGGACGTGGGTGGGGAACCTGTGCCCGTCCCGGGCGAGGAGGAGCTGCGCATGTATGTGGATCGGGTGCACGCTGCGGGCGTGGGCGCCAGTGTCGCGTTGCTGGAGGGGGAGGAGGACGGCGCGGAGCTGGAGGCCGGCCTCCTGCTCGAGCTGAAGGAGGAGGAGGAGGAAGCTGAAGAGGAGGAGGCGCCGGAGGAGGAAGACCAAAAGGAGGGGGTGCACCCCGGCGCTCCAGGGGACGACCTCGGCCTCGCGATCTCGCCATAGCGCAGCTGCCTGGCATCGCAGGCTTGCAGGTGGTGTCGCGTGTACCAGTAAAAAGCTGTGCAGTGCGAGTGAGGGGCTGGGGCGGGGGGTGGTCCACCGAAATGCCTCTTGTTGACAGGCCTAGAAAAGCGTGGCCAAGTTCCGCGCGCGGTCGAAGGTTGCAATTCGATCCCACCATCGGCATGCCTTGGGCAGGCGCACACGCAGCGATGGCATGTTAGGATTTGCAATGCATTGCTGATAATAATATACCGATGTAGCGCCGTATCCAACTCGCAAGGGCGTGATCGGCACTGTCGCCCCCTGGTGCGGAGTGATCTGGGCACGGCCATGTGCTCGGCATTCACCCCCCTCCTGGAGCGGCAGCTGCCCTGTTCTGTGCGACATGCGGCATGGTGCACCACCATGGACCTGCTGGCCCTGGTCCTGGAGGACAACCGCCTGCTCCTGCACCGGCTAAATTGGCAGCGGCTGTGGGTGACCACCCAGGACCCCCAAATCTCGGCCCTGGCCTGGTCCCAGGACGGGCGGGAGCTGCTGGTCGGCGGGGAGGATGGGTCTGTGACCCTGCTGGCCGCAGAGGATGGCGCGGTGATGCAGCGGGCACGCCTCCTCCCCGCCCCACATGCCGTGGTGGCGGTGCAGTGGGTGGAGGCCCCTCTCCCCAATACAACACCCCTCTTCCCCGACCGCGTGCGCCGTTTCTTTCCGCCCCAGAAACACAGCCCGGCCCTGGGCCTGGCGGGCATGGGCAGCCGCCCGGCGATTGGATGGCCCGCGGAGCCGGCCAGCGTCAGCCTGCTGCTCGCCCTCTCTGCCTCCGGCGACCTCGTCATCAGCACCAGCACCCTGCAGCCCTTGATCCAGCTGACGCAGACGAGCCAGCCGGCGGGGCATGCAGCGATCACTGCGTCCCTGTCGCCGGATCTCGCCCACTGCGCGGTGATGTGCAGGAGCGGCGACGGCGGGGTAACAATGACGATACGAGGCACTGCCTGCCTGTCTGAGAACCTGGCGATGCTGCACAGGTTTGGGACGATGTCTGCTCTCTCCAGGCAGCTTCTTGGAGGTGGGTGGTGCGGGAGTTTGGGAAGGATGTGGAGTGTGAGGTGTTGCAGTGGAAACGGGCCCGGTAGTGGAAATCTCTCAAGCGCAACGTGATACATACATAGCCCCTCGCCTCGCATACCTGCAGCATGCATGACGGCTGCTGGGACCATGCATCAAGAATGGCAGACGCAGGCCACAGAGTGGAAGGCTTTTGCTGCTGGTCTGGTGAGCAGGGCGCAGTATTATGATGCAGTTTGAGAGAACAGGAACATCACGACCGCTGTCCACATTGCTCATGCTCAGAGTCATTGGGGACTACATGATCCAAAACCTACATCCACCATTCCCAATTCCACTTTCTCCCTCAAGAGACAAACACTGGACAAGTTTGGAGACTCGACCTCCGTAGTATGCACCCTGGAGCGAGTGCTCCGCGATGGGACCATCTCAGATGGCCTGCAGCAGTACCTCTCCGTAGATTTTGGTGAGGAGGGAGGGGTTCGCTGTGGCTGTGTCATTAGATGCTCAACCCACATGCCACACCTTTTCATTCTCTGGTGGGAGGGGGGCATGAGACATGTCTGGACCAAAATGCTGTCACCCAGCAGTGACCATGCTTTGAATGGTGCTTGCGGGTTCGTGGCATATACTGTTGACATGCCTGTTTCCCACAATTTCCCTCCCACGTGCGCTCACCCCAGGAGAGACCGGTCTGAAGAAGCTGTCCAGGGCAGTGGATGGCGCCGTGCTTTCGACACATGCCCTGATGCTGGACAATGTGGCACCCACCCTGGAGCAATTGGCGTTTCTGATGGGCGAGCTACGGGGTGCCAGCCAGCTCCCTGCCTGGAAGGCAGTGCTGAGCCTGGATGTGAGTGCTTGATGGGGAAGAAACCTGGATGCCTGCCCTCTGATGTCAGTGGTGCATGTGAGGGAAGCTCCTGGGCATAGCGCTGCTTTCATGTGTTACACCTTGATCCCCTCCTCGCCACAGACGGTGGCAGTGACCAGGCTGGAGGAGCAGGTCCTCCTCCTTTGCCTGCACGTCGACACGGAGAGGCGGCGCTTGCTGAGCAGAGGCGAGACCCTGCGCATGTTTTTCGCCTGGCTCCTGACCGTCATGAGGAGGTAGGCGTTGGGAAGGGAGTGCAGAAAGTGGTGCCAGGTGCCAGCCGCATGAAGAAAGAAGGTATGTTCCTGGCCTCTGCATCTCAGTGATGACTGGTGCACAGGGACGCACGGATGCCCAAGCCGCACCGCCCTTCGCCAACCGACATCCCCTTCCGCTCGCTGCCTGGCAGGGTGCATCAGACGTCCCCAGACGCAATGGCCTGGTTCCCGGAGAGCCATCTGAAGGCGGTCACTCGATTCCTCATGGGCAAAGCATTTGACCAAGACCCTACCGCAGACTTTCTCCTGCCCAAGGAGGTACATTGGGAGGTATTTGATGATGACCAAATGGGTATCAACGGCAATGAAATATTGCTATGTGGCCCCCAAACATGCATTCAACCTTTGCCTGGTGAAACCTAGTCCAGATCCGTCCCATCATCCTTCCGACTCAGCAGGGCGCCGAAGCCAGTCACATGCCCAACTGGGCAGACTTTGTCCTGGAACATGCGCGAGCATGGTCTGCACAAGGCCAGGACGTCCAGGCCTGCGCCGCCTCCCCCCCGCTCCAGCCGTGGCTCATACAGCTGCAGGGGCGGCTGGACCGCATCCTGGAGGCTCCCGTGCGCACACTGTCCCAGCAGGTCACGCTCCAAGGACATCACCGGTGGGTGGCAGTGAGCCAACAGCGTGCATGGGGATGTTTGGATTGGGGAGAGACGGGCACTGCTCCTGCTTCCTTGCAAGCACATGAGCTGGTGTCCCTGGGGCGTGAGGGATGCAGCCAGCCCCCACCTGGTTCCATCTGTGCCATGCTGTGTGCAGGGCCAGCACCCCAGTCGACCCTGGCTCAGCGTCGCTCTGCTACCTGGCGGCAACAGATCGATGGGCGGTAGCCCTCCCCTCTGCCACCTTGCATGTTTCAACTGTGGTGCGGGGGCAGGGTGCCGGCGAAGCAGGGCCGGGCAAGGACGCCTCTGTTCAAGACATGGAGGTGAGGTGTCGTGCCCGCTTGAGGTCCCGGGTTATTGCAAATGGGTGGGGCTCGTGTGCGCCCTATCGTGCCTTTGTTGCTAACAGAGATTAGGTCTTCCTTTCCATCATGCCATGCGTGGGCGCCTTCACTTGCTTGCTCGGCATGGCCTGAACCTTCACCCTTCTTCCCTGTTGGCAGCCTGTGCGCGGCTGCAAGCCTCCTACACCTGATGGGCCAGTCCTGGACTGCACATTCTTCGGAGACTCCCTCCTGGCCTGCATCTCTGGCGGACCCGCCCCTGCCCTGTCGCTGGCGCCGCTGTTTCCCGACGGGCCCGAGGCACCACAGGAGACGAGGACACGGCACCTAGGGTGCCTGCCCAAGCGCCTGGCCGTTTCTCACTCCAGGAAGCTGGCGTGCGTGCTCACCAGCGACCAGGTAGGTCTCCTGCTCACAGGGCAAGGCCAGGGAAGGCTGCAGGGGTGTGCACGCCCGGGTGGGTGATCCTTGTGCCCTTCATCGTCCTCTGACGCGCCTGCCACCAACTCTCACCCCCTCAACGAGTGCTGCCACGATTTTGTGCCCCTCACAGCGCGCACTCCTCTTTGACCTGGCAGCTGATGAGGAGGAGGGGGAGGAAGAAAGGGAGGAGGAGGGGGAGGAAGAAAGGGAGGAGGAGGAGGACGAAGCCATGGAGCTGGCAGACGACTGACATGCATGAGCTTGTTTGCCATCGACCATGCAGGCACCTGCTACTGGCATGCCTGTGTGGGTGTGCCAGGCCTGTGGGTGTGGTTTACGTGTGGCAACAACCGCCTGCTCGTACCGGAGCAGGTGCAGCACCACAGCTGACACGGCTCAGGTTGCAGCTGGGACACTGCAGGCAGGGGCTTCCAGGGCGGTCGCGTCGGCCACTCTGGGCCACGCTGTACCCTTCAGTCTGAGTCCATCCCGCCGACCTCTACCACCGCTTCAATGGAACGCCTGGGTCACTCGGTGCAGCAGCCCCCCCGCCCCCGAGCGCAGCAGGCGCTGGGAGTCGATGACCACCTCCCGGATGCTGCTGGGGCTGGTGGGCGAGGCCAGCGCGTCCCGCGGGGAGGCGGCCAGCTCGAGAGCTGCCAGGGGGCTCTCCTCCAGCGTCTGGCTCCGGGACAGCGGTGAGTTGCCCCCGGGCAGCAGCCCCGTCTGGCCCTGGGGGAGTCGTGGGGGATGGGAAAGGGTGTGTGCCTGGCGCAGGGATGGGCTCGGCTGGAGGTGTCCTGTTGCCACCATAGCGCAGCAATGGGGAGCAGTCTGCATACCACCTCATCCTCCTGACACCACAAGTCCCGCTGCGCGTCAGAAAGCCTGCGTTCTCCCTGAGCTCGCTGCGCTACAGACCCCCCTAAAACCCCCCTCGCCAATGCCCCAAGCCCACACACCGGAACGAGGGGCGCAAAGGCGTCGAGCCGGGCCGCCGCCGCCGCCGCACGGTACTGGGGCGTGCTCAGCGTCTCCGCCCTGCGGGCATAGGACAAGTCGACGCCGGAGCCCTCCGGGCCCAGCTCCGACCCCGGAACCAGTGCAAAGGAGGTCTTCAGCCCGCTGCCCGCCCGGCCCGCCTCCAGCACCTCGTTCTCGGTGACCAGCCGCCGCTCCGCCACGAAGCCGGCCACCCTGAAGGGGTGGAGAGAAAGGAGGAAAGGGAGATCGGTCTGAGTTCTGCTGCCAGACGACAATCGACCATGATTGGATGGCCAGGCCTGAGCGCTGCTGCACGGAGCATGGACAACCGCGCACCCCAGCATGCGCACTCCCCGCCCGCGCCCCGACAGACCCCATGAAGATGGCGCCCGCCAGCGCCATCACCAGTCCCGTCATGAGCAGCCAGATGGAGCTGGCGGGGAGGTGGTCCAGCTCCTGGAAGTAGATGCCGCCCTCCAGCACCGACATGCACATCCAGAAGGCCTGCAGGGGGGGGCGGGTTGAGGGGAGATTCTCAGGGAGGGAGTGAGATGGAGGGGCTCTCATGTGATGCGGTGGGGAACCACATCTTGCCCGTGCACAGGCAGAAGCAGGGGCGATGCTGCCCCACCCGATGTCCAGCCTTGCTGGCTGCTGGCTCCCCATCCCGATCCTGGCCCACCAACCTGCATGAGGGGCATGATGAGGGATGCCGGGTACAGCCTGAGGCCCTGGTTGCTCTGCCGGATCCACCACGCCGCGGTGCCCAGGAAGGCGGCCGCCACGAACCAGCCGTAGGGGTCGGCCAGGGAGTCTGGCAGCTCCGACACCACGTACGTCAGCGACTTGCTGAAGAGCACGGACCAGGCACCTACAGAGATTGAGGGTGGAAACATTGAGGAGGGCGAAGATCGCAGAAAGGCAGCTCAACAGGTGTTCAGTGGCATGGCTCCTGGCTCTGCAAAGCACGCCGGGGATCTGCGAAATGCATCCTCCCTGCCAAACATGCACGCACCTATCATGGAGGCCACGGCGGAGTAGAGGAGCGCGCCGGTGAACACCTGGGCGGCGTCGGCCGTGACCCATGTCCCGCTCCAGGGCAGGGCGAAGCCCAGGCTCTCCCGCCGAGCGAGCGGGGCGGGGCCGCCCGCGGGGTCAAACGCCGCCGCGCCGTCGGCCCAGCGCGCGGCGTGCGCCGGCGGCGCTCCCAGCATGGCGAAGGGCCCGGTCAAGCGCTGGGCCTTGGCCGCGGCGCGCAGCTCCCACCAGATCAGCTGCAGCGCCGTCAGCGCCAGCGCCATGGCCAGGAGGAAGGCGCGCATGGTGCGCGCCTGCCACAGCGCTCGCAGCGCGGCCACCGAGTACTCTACGTCGCCGGGGCCGTGCCAGACGATGAGAACGTTGCCGGCCACGACCACCAGCACGCCCAGCGCGGCAGAGCGATCCGCACGCACACCGAGCAATGCCTGGGAGGCGACGGGGATGAGCACGAACTGGAGGGAGCCGAGACCGGAGAGCACGGTCTGGGAGGCGAAGCGCATGGACACAAAGCGCAGGAGGTTGCCGCCGGCGAACAGGCCCCAGCCGGCCACGGCGTACGCCCGGGATCCCACCAGCAGGCGCCGCCACTGGCCGTCGGGGCGCTGCCTGTTTTGGGCGAGAGGTGGGGGGGAGGGGAAGATTGGGAGGGGGGGGGTGGCGGGCGGGGGGGATGGAGGCCTGGGGAGCATGCACAGGTGGTGTGTCGGGTTGTGTACCAGAGTTACTGCCATGGAGCATCAGTACGCTGCCAACTGCATGTCGCGTGCCCTTCTTTCATAATCGAGGACCGGCCCACGGGCACCCAACACACACCCCTCACCACTGGGGCTTGGGGGAGGCGTGGCGGGGCACTAGCCAGGTGTGAGGCATGCCTGACGACTCCTTGATGCAGTGCGAGATCTTGACCACGGTCTGGCCCACCACGATGAGCAGGGAGCCACCTACGTGCAGCACCGCCCCGAGGGCGCTCAGGCCCTGCAGCGCCGGCGCCATGCCGAGCGGCAGGGCCCCGCGGGGGTTAGGGACCCGCTAAGCCCCCTTCATTAAACGGGGCATAGGCATGATTGCCGGGCGGTGTGCATCGCCACGGTTGAACGCGGGGGGGGGGAGGGGGTCCGTGCTCCTCCAACGCCTGCCTTGCTCGTCGTCAGGGTCTGGGGAATGGGCGCTGATCAATGCAGGACACACTCAGCAGTGTACAAAATCGAGTTGCACAGCCCGGCAGGTGGGTTGGATGCGGATCGCGGCAGCGCGCGGCAGCCCCGGGTTTTTGACCGTGCGTGCGTGCAATCGTATTTTCCGCAGCTTCCTTCGGGGAAGCCATGGAGCCCGGCCTCGCGGACCCCATCCCTCTGAACACCCCACTGACACCTGTCTGGCGTTCACCCATCCGTTACACAACTGTTCGGCAACCACCATGCCCCCCCTCTCTCAGCGCACGAAGATGTCCTCGGGCACCTGGGGCCCCACCCCATGCCCTGCCGGCACCAGCAGCGGGGAGGAGGGCGGCGGGGGCAGCGGCGCGGCGCCGCCACTGACCACGAACTCGCGCATGGCGGCCAGGCGCGCGCGCGTCTCCGCATCCGCCAGCGCCTCGCAGGCCGCGGCCGCCTTCTCCCACACCACCCGCGGCTGCAAAAAGTCCCAGCCCTCGGCCCGGCCCATGACCACCTCCGCCAGCCCGCGCACGACGTCGTCCGCCAGCTGGCGCTCGCCCAGCACACGGGCCGCGACGGCGCGGTGCTCCTCCTGGCGGGCCGTGACGCGCTGCGGCACGGCCAGCGGCGTGGCGGTCAGCAGGTCCAGGATGCGCGCCGCGGGCACGGTCTCGTCGGCCGCGTCGCAGAGCTCGCGCGCCACCGCCTCGATCACGGGCCGGCGCTGGCGCACCAGCAGCACGGCGCGCTCGTGCGCCGCCTCCTGCAGCGCCAGGATGGCGTCGTCGTGCAGCTCGTCCATCCACTGCAAGGGGGGATGGCCGGAAAAGAAAGGAGATACTGAAGGGGGGGTTGGAGCATCGGGGGGTGGAGGCAAGCTGCCAGCACACTCCTCCTGCCCATGCAGCTCTACCAGAAGCATGGGAAAAGGCTGCATCCCCAATCCATCCGCCTGCCCTCAGAGGGCTGTCCCTGGCATGTTGTGGACACCAATTCCCTTCCCTCCCAGGGAGAACACAGCCCCCTCTCGTCCCCCCTCCCCTCTCGCACCTCGGTGGTGGGGTCGGGGTAGCCGCCCAGGGTCATGTTGCTGCGCAGGACGGTGTTGCGGTAGTCGGGGTGCAGCGTGGAGTCCACCACCAGCCACCGCGCCAGCTCGCTGGCCAGGCCCAGCTCACGCCCCGTGGAAAGCGAGGCGCCGTCGGGCCCAAAGATCTCCTCCTCCGCCACCCTGCATGGAGGCGTCGAGGTGGGGTTTGGAAAGGGACGGGCGGGCGGGGGAAAGCAGGGCAGTTGGGCGGGACGCGGGTGCGGCATGGTGGACTAGGCCACGGCGCTCAAGGAGACGTGACCGCGGCTCACCAGCAACATGCCGTCTCGCCCTTGGCAGCATCTTGAGTGCATCCATCGGCAGCGAGCGCCCGCTCGATCCCCCCCTCCTTCCATCAGAAAAACAAATCCAGAGCACCACGGCACCTGGCGGCGTAGAGGGGCACCAGCAGACCGCACGCAACGTCAAAAGCGGACATCTCCTCCTCGATCACCACGGCGTTGGTGCGCCGCCCGCGCGCGGTCAGGCCCAGGAAGGTCCCGCCGTCGCGGCCGATGTCCTGAGCCTCGAAGGCGATGCGCAGCGTGCTCTGCCCGCGCGGCGCCATGGACACCTCCACCATCTGGGGCACACCGGGGGTCAGCGCCAGGGCCACCGCGCGCGCGGCCTGCGTCACCGCCAGCCGCCGCTTGGCAGGGGTATCGGGCAGGGAGGCGCGCGGCAGGCCCAGCTCCACCTTCTCCTTGCCCTCCAGGATGGTGTCCAGCGTGATGACGGGGGAGGCGGCGCGCACGCTCAGGATGGCCGCCTCGTTCAGCAGGTTGGCCAGCTCAGCGCCACTGTACCCGATGGTCATGTCGGCAATGGCCCGCAGCGCCGCGTCGTCGTTGCTGCGGTCTACGGGCTTGCCCTCCGCGTGCACCTTTTGGGATTGGGAGGGGCTGGCTTATGGGGGCTTCACAGGTGGAGCACCGGGAAAGGCAGGCGACTGAGAAAGCGTCAGGAGACTGCATGCCGCAGCACGAGAAGAGTCCGGCGGGCGGGGGATGGGGCGCCGCTGCGCGGGGACAGCCATCCTGGAAACCCTGTTGCTCCCGCACGGGCTACCCACAGCGCCAACGACTAGGACTGGCATGCTCGCCTGTGCATCGAGTGCCGACGATTCCCAACCCCAGGGACTCCTTCCATGCAGCGCATTCTCCCCCACCCCCCCACACATGCACATGAGAAACGATCCCCGCACCCACCGCATTTACCTTGAGGATCTTCAGCCGGTTGGGTCGGGAGGGCAGGCCCATGAACACCTTGCGGTCGAAGCGCCCCGGCCGCATCAGCGCCAGGTCCAGCTGATCGATGCGGTTGGTCGCGCCGATGACCAGCACCTGGTCCGCCTGCACCGCGCCGTCCATCTCCGCCAGCAGCTGGAGCAGGCCTTGCTCGCGCTCCTGGGTGCCCGAGTCCGAGGACGCATCGCGCGCCTTGCCGATCGCGTCGATCTCGTCTGGGATGGGAAGGGTGGGAAGTTGGGAGTGGTGGGGTGTGATTGAGGCAAGGGCAGTGGAGAACACGCC